CCCTAAAACCCCAGCCCCTGCTGCCTTGTGGGTTACTCCTTGGCAGGGAAAGGTTAGGGAAGCTGACCCCAAAATAAACACAAGGGCAGGGCTAAACTGTTGACCAGAGTGGACAGTTACACCTGGCTTCCTTTGGAAAGTCCTCTCTGATGGATCAGGCAGCTGAGCAGATATGTTCATCTCCCTGGCTTTGAAGGCAGAAGGTAAGAGCTGCATGGACAGTATAGGGCATCAAGTCAGGTACTGCAGGACTTGATGGTCATCCACTGCATCCAGACTTGTCTCCAGACATCTCGACTCTGTCTGTCGTGTCACTGATTTCAGACAGGCCTGGATGAGAGAATGAGGGTGACTTTGAGCAACTTTCCCTCACTTAAATCCAACTCATGCACAAGTCATGACATTGCTATATCTCCCCATAGACACACTCAAGTCCTGTGGTGGTGGGCAAGCAGCAAAACAGCAGATGTAGATACACTGGGAGTTGTAGCTGCAGACCTACACATAGGCAGCTCAGTGCATAGGGTCATTTTTCACTGAACCAAAGCAGCAGCCCCCTGGGTGACTGAGCAGCCCTATTTAGGATCATCTTCTCACCTCCATAGCATGAGGACGGAGCTAGAAAAGGTGCCCAAAGCGTTCTCTGCTTCACTGGTCAGCATTTCATGGCTGGTGGGGATTCCACTATAGTGGTCAAAAATCACACTAAAACACAAAAAAGACAAAGGTGACAGCATTCATCATCAGTGCTTGGAATGTGCTCATGCTAATGGACTGTACAACAGCAGATAGACCAGAGAGAAGAACAGCTCTAGTTGGTAGACAGGTGGCTAAATTCAACATTCAGATAGCAGCCCTGCAAGAAATGCGCCTAGCTGAAGAAGAACAACTCACTGAAAAAGGAGCCAGCTACACCTTCTTCTGAAGTGGCCATAGTAAAGAAGAGTGACGTGAAGCTGCTGTTGGGTTTGCCATCAAAACACAGCTAGTCAGTAAGCTTACAAATCTCCCAAAGGAAGTGAATGACAGACTGGACAGGTTAGACAAGTGGGCAGAAAACAACAGAATGCAATTCAACAAGGAGAAATGCAAAGTGCTGCACCTAGGGAGGAAAAATGTCCAGCACACCTACAGCCTAGGGAATGACCTGCTGGGTGGCACGGAAGTGGAAAAGGATCTTGGAGTCCTAGTGGACTCCAAGATGAACATGAGTCAGCAGTGTGACGAAGCCATCAAAAAAGC